CCAAAGCTAGCCATTGACAAATACAATTTGCTTTTTATCTCAGTGTCTCAGCTGTATTTGGCAAGAGGCTTCACTTAAAAGAATTCTATCCTTAGTTTCCAGTCACCCACCATTTCTGTTGTTTCTGGCTCTCCACACTCCGATCTCCATGCTACATTCTCCTTATCTTCCTGACTTCCACAGTTTTTAAAAAATATTTTATTTATTATTTTTAACAGAGTATAAGGTAGGGGTTTATTTACAGAAGAGTGGACACCGCACATTTACGGCTGTGCTGTAAAGTCCACACTCAAATACAGATCCTGTGACCTCCTGATAGCCGCACAAAATGGTGAGAGAGGTGCCTCTTGGTGTTCTAGGCTTATATATCCTTTGTCCTTCCCCTTACATACAGCTAAGGTCGACTGACTGGATGGGAGGGGTAACTGAATCCCCCCTTGACTCCTTGATGAATGTGGGAAGGAGGTATGACTATAGCTTGCCAGCATAGTGGTTGGAGGACACTTCCAGGTAACACTCCATCCCTTCCTCCAGTTCTTACATTCTTTCCACCAGCCTCTTCCACAAAAGTCCCTGAGCCTTGGAGGGAGTGGTAGGTGGACTTCCATAGTTTTTAACACTCCAGCCCTTTTCTCTGAATCCTTTGGCCTTGACTCAGATCTGTGACTATAAATACAATTTGTGCTCTGATGGCATCCTGATTTCCAGATTCATATATCCATACTTTTTGTTTGACATCTCCACTTAGAAGTCCAAAAGACATTTCAAAATTCACTTGGCCAAGAATCAAGTAGTTTAGTAGAATGTATTCCTAGCACTGTAGTTTTAAAAAATTACTAGAACAAAACAAAACTCTCTCCCAGTCAGTCTTGAAGTAGTCCTTGTCATCTTATGTGTGCTTGCCACTACCCACTCCTGCTCAGTGCAAAAAGGATGAAGCCGTCCTTGAGTCCTCTTTTTCCCAGCCTCATCCACACTCACCAGCAAGTCCTCTGGCCCCATCTCTAAACTCACTCTTCACTTCTCTATCCTCACTGACATTCCTCTGGCACATGCCAACATGTGTCTCAACAGACCTCTGTAAAGATCAACATATGCCCCCTCACTCCCCTAAAATCTCTTTTCTACATTGTATCCAAAGTAACCTTTTCAAAGTGAAGGTCTGATTGTGCTTTAAAGTGTCCCTTCTCTGCTTTAAAGTGTCCAATGATTTCTACTGCCTTGTACAATGAAATCAAAATTACCCCCAGAGCCAAGGAAACCCTGGGTAGCTCACTCAACCTCCTCTGAGTTCCTCTCCAGCTACTCTAGCCCTGGGAAACACAAGCTTGTTCTTTTCTTCCCATTTTCTAAACAGCCCAGGCTCTGGATTGTTTCAGGATCCTTAATGCATTTGGAATCAGATGCCCCGGTAGCTCTGCCAGGCCCTCCTCACCCACATTTGGGGGCCACCTAAGCAGCGGAGAGCCCCCAGCTACCTGCTCTCACAGTGCCCTCACTCTTTCCACAGAAGAAACTGTGTTGCTTACTAATTTTTATGCCATCTGGTGCCTCCAACTCTATGTTAATTACATGAAAATAGGACCTTCTAGATGTATTTACAGCTACATTCTCATTATCAGAAATAATATCTAATGTGTAATAGGTGCTCAAAGAACTATTGTTGAATGTGCCAAAACAGAGCATCAAAATAAAAAGACAATCTGAACCATTATTCCAATGTCCAAAACTCTGAATAAAGGATTTTGAGAAGTATCTAACCCCTATTTCTAGTCACTTAGTAACAATAGTCACTCCTCCCAAGGGAGGCAAAGCCACCTTTTAGCATCTTGGATTATCCAAAACCCTTCTTCTTCAGCTTGGGCCCTAGTTCCTAGTAGCTTCTGAACCTGTATGAAGGCCCCAAAGTACCGAATACATGGTTTCAGTTTTACACATGACAGACAGTACTTTGCATATCTGAAGATAGTGATACCTGCTTTTGGCTTAATAGTCTCAGTCTTATTTTTTTGTAATTATTTTTATAGTACTGGCAATTGAACCTTGGGGTACACATGGCCTAGGCAAGGGTTGGATCACTGATTTATATCTCTAGTCCTCTTTTTACTTTTTATTATGAGACAGGGGTCTAACTAAACTGCCAAGGCTGGCCCTGACTTCCTCTACAGTCCAAGCAGGTCTTGAACTTGTGATCTTCTTGCCTCAGTCTTCAAAGTGCTGGCCTGGGACCACCAGGCTCAGCTTGGTGCCTGCTTTAAGAACTATAAATGTGACAGTTGAGGAATCTTGCTGTACAATCCAAGACTGCTATAGACTATAATTAAGTTGTATATGTAGCTGTCAACCATGTGATGAATACTCAAATCTGGCTCAAATGACCATTTCTCATCTGGCTGGAACAACTGACTTCTTTCTTAGTGAGCATGGCCTGATTTAAACTAGCACTTACCTCCATCCAGCTCAAGCTGACACAGAATCTCCAAGCTAGGTGCCTTTTGTACCATCTCAAGCTTACTATTTCTCTAATCTCAGGACAGCATGGCCACTCCTCACCCTCCTGCATTCCTAACACCATTTAGAGCTACCAGCATGAGAGACCTGCTCTACTCTTAGGAGGAAGATGTTGGCATCTGTTCTTGCATAAAGCTCTGGATTTTCCATACATGTAAACTGAACCATAAGCTCCCTTAGTTTTCATATAGGTAGATGGTCACCTGAAGCCATAATCAGCAGTGACAGGACCACAAAAACAAGAGATCAGAACAACTTGAAGCTGGACCAGTCCTGACAGCTTTCCTACACATGCTCTGGGCTTCATGACACAGTACTACTCACATCCTTGTGCCTCTGAGAATACCCAAAGAACACACAAAGTACTCTAAATCAGAGTATACATCAATACCTTTCTAGAAACATCCATATTCTAATTTTATGCCTTTTACCCCCAATGCACATTGGCATCTAAATTAAGTTACTCAGGAAGAGCTGTATTAAGAGATTAATGATTCAATAAACAGGTAGATCATTTGGAAACAGTCTACAGTGCTGTGTCATGTTGGTAAGGCTGAAGAATAGAATTTTATGAGCACCGGCCAGTCCCTAATGTCTGAACCCTGGGAGTGAGATGGTCAGACTATTCCAGAGTACATGACTGATGAGTCCAACAAAACAAAAACCTGTAGGCTCAGACATACTACTATGATTTTCTTTTAATGTGTGTGGGGGGATGCATTTGTATGTGTGCAGCAGGGTAGTAATTTTCAATAAAATGTCACATTGGATCAATCTGTTGGTTTGCTCTGTCTGACAAATAGAGCAAAGGACAGTCTCTGAACAATCCATGTCTTCCTCTTCCACAATATCTATCTAAATAAATTAGCATGTCCCCTCCTACCACAGTTTGAATGTCATGTTGAAGCTTGACCCCCAAAGTGGCAGTGTTGGAGGCTGCTGCTGAAAGGTGATAATATATTTCTTGGTCTCTCAGGACTGAATTGGTCTTTAGGGGAAGGGAGGGGCTGCTTTCCAGGGGGTTTAGCTTCCTCAGCTCACTTTCTTTTTGCCCCTCTTGTCCTCTAAGGTCTTGTGTCATAAGGCCTTCACCAGAAGCTGAGAAGATGCTGCTGCTATGTTTTCATCCTCCAATACTGTGAGCTAAATAATATATTCCTTTGTAATCTACCAGGTGGTTTGAGTGAGCAATGTCCCCCCATAGGCCCAAGTATTTAAACACTTTGTATACGGTCCCCAGGTGGTAGCACTGTTTGGGGAAGGTCACGGAAGCTTTAGGAGGTGTGGCCTTGCTTGAGGAAGCACATCACTGGGGGTGGGCTTTGAGAGTTCATAGCCTTGCCTCAGTTCTAGTTTGCTCTTCTCTGCTTCCTGTGAGTGGCAGAAGATGTGAGTTCTCAGCTTTGTACTCTACCCACTTCTGCTGCCATACCTCCTCTACCATGATGGACTAGTCCTCTGGAACTATGAGCCCAAATAAACTCTGCCTTCTGTAAGTAGCCTTGGCCACAATGTTTTATCTGCAACTGAAAAGTAACTAACACACCATCCATCCTCACATATTTTGTTATACCAACACAAAAAAGGGCTAAAATACCTGCTTAGCTCTGCCTTAGCTCTTAGGTACAAAATTAACCTAAGCACTATCCAGTCAGATTTTATTCTTTCTCTTAAACAGTATTTTATTAATTCTTTGAGAATTTCATACAATGTATTTTAATCATATTCACTTCTCCCTTGCCTCCTCCTACCCCTACCTCCTTGCCCACTCAACTTTATATCCTCTTTTTTTTTTAATCTCATCAACCCAATTTATATTTCTCAGATACTTCTGGGTGTTCTGTCATCCTCTGGACTATGGTGGACCTACAAGGGGCCACATCCTCAAAGAAAACAGACTCTCCTTCCTGAAGCCATCAATTGCAAATAGCTCATTGAGGAGTGGGGCTTCATGCTCAACTCCCTCCTCCATGCTAGAAGTTTGTCTGGTTTGAGCCTATGCAGGTCTTGTACATATTGTCATAACTGTTGTGAGTTCATATATGAAACTGCCCTGTTGTGTCCAGAAAATACTTTTTCGTTGCAGTCATCTTCTTCTGGCTCTTACAATCTTCCCAGCCCATCTCCTGCAATGATTGCTGAGCAGAAATCCTTTGAGTTCTTGCTAGTCCTCCCTAGTTCCTAACCTATGAGACCGAGGGAATAAATATCAACTTCCAGAACCAGATAATGTTAAAGTAAATATGAATATCCACTGATATTTAAAACCTTTATTTCGTTAATGAAACAATGCATTGTGTGCCTGCTCTGGCCCTCCTATTACAGTTATCTCTGTATTCACTTTAAAGAGCTCTAGCCAGTTCAAATGTGTTCTTCGAAGAATGTTCCTGCCTCCGTCCTATGTCCTCACTCAAATGCTAGAGCCATATCAACCACCACCAAGTTCAATTAAAAATAGAAAACAGTGACATCAATTTGAAACAACTCACAGCATTGTGTGATCTTCTGGATGTTAGAGGAGATGCGCTGAGCCAGCTGGGCAGGGTCCCCACCAATCCCAGGCATGTAAGACATGGCTACTTTGCTGACTGACTGATTTCATCCAGATGCAGGTAGGCTATGTGGTTTTCTAAGCAGTCACCTAAAAATTAAAAAAGGTTTCTTAATTGCATTTTTAAAGTTACTAGTGTATATTTCTCATTACCTACCTGTGAGATTAAAGGGTCAAAATCTGGCAATCTGACATTTATAGTAACAAAACTCGTGTCTACCAAGCAACAGCTGGCTTCAAGAGCAGATTTATGTAAATGCGTTTAACAATTAAAATAAGATTAAAATAGCACACTCTCATTTAAAACTTCTTCCATCTAAGGAAAATATTTATTAAAATTATTTTTCTATGTATAATTTTAATTGTTTATAGATTTCTCTCAATAAAACTGTAAGCAAGTATAAGGCAGGGCCCACATAATCTTTTTCTAATACTCTCAGCAATTCTTAACAGAGAATACTTAAATATTAAATGGAACACACTTCCGGCTTTCCCCCCCGACATGTCATAGTATTTACTGAACAAAAAGGGAGCAGTCTGGGGACACAGGGTCTTCAATCTTTGTAGGAAAGGTTGACTTTGATACAGCACAGGCAACAAGTGAGAAAATAAAGAAAGGTACAAGAAATTGCTCAGCGCCTTCCTGGCACAGCAGAGGAAATGACTCCTCTCCTCTTCCAGTCCTCAGACTCTTACCACAGAAAGCAAAGCCAGTACTCCTGCAGGAGGAAGAGAGGAAGATGAAGTTCTGTTTTCCATCTATACCACCTGGGATTTGGAAAGAAGGTCCCAAAACGGTGTGTTTGGAGCACACACATGTGTGCACTGCCAGGAATTTCAATGACTCTTGTGCCTTTCTCTGGGTGCGCAATGAATACCGCAGGGTTGTCAGTGATCAATCTACAAGCCATTCTCTACTCAAAACGTGCTACATGCCCACCACTAGTGAAGCACTTGAGAGGTACGAAATGAGGTAAACAAAACAAAAAGACAGGATACCTGAAGCTAGACAGAGTGGTGTTCACCTGTAATCTCAACACTCAGGAGGCTGAGGGAAGAGGATCATAAGTTCAAAACAAACCTGGGTTGCACATTAAGACCCTATCTCAAACAAATATCTCCTCAAACCTCAAATCAAGCTTGTCATTTAGAAGGAAGGAGAAAGTTAATTATATAAAACAAATACACACACACACACACACACACACACACACACACACACACATATATATATATATAATGCCACAAGCTAGGCAAAAAATGACAGGGAATACAAAAAAAAGAATTACTGTTGCCCTTTTCTAGAAAAATATTTATAAAGCAGCAGCATAAAGTTTGAATGCTTCGATAGGATTACTATGGAGAACAAAGGCTTAGACATGAAGACCAACCAGATGGACAGATTCAGAACATGTGGAAAAGGCAAACAATACTCACTGGAGAAAGCAGAGGTCTTGACCAGCCCTAGAGCAAATGATTCATGGCTGGAATAAGTGGGAGGCAGCACAGAAAAGGGGAGGACTGACCTGACATTTACTACATATCTGTGAAATGAGGAAGGTTTCACAGAGACTGTTCAATTTTCACACTCCTCCTTAAAGTAGGTAGCACTGCTCTTTCTAAAACAGTGAGCAAATGATGGCTTATAAAGATTAAGTAACTGGTCCAAAGTAACACAATCCACCCACTGATGGAGGTGGGGTTTAACTTCAGAGTTCAGATTCTAAAGCTACTCAGGTTTGCTTCCACATAAAGTAATTACCACAGGAGAGCAAGGGTCTGGATTTGCACGTTTAGGTTAACTATGTGGTGGTATGAGATTTCTAATAGGAGACGAGGCCACAAAGATAATGAACCCTGGTATGCTCAAGTCTCTTAGGCTTAATGCATAGATGCTGTATTATATTGTCTAGGGAATGAACTTTTTAAAACTATATATTCTATACCAATATAATTAAACAATATTTTGATGCACAGTGGGTTGTCTCTAAAGACATGGAACCTAAGGACAGGGAAGAAAAGGGGCAGTTGTGGAAGAAAATGTAAGAGCTAAGCTGTTGAGACTGGTTGAAAAAAGAAAATGTAAACTGTTTCCATGTATCATGGACTATGCTTGGTCCTTGGGAGCTTCTAGATGCTCTCACTCTTCTGTCTTTTTCGCACATAAACCAAATCCTAGAAATAGAGTAAAAACTAATTTCATTAAAAGCAAATTCAAACCTCAACTGACAGCTGATCCACAGTTACAGGGAAGCAACAGGGTAACAGGAATAAACACCCTTCCAGGAAGCAGTAGAGTTGGGCTGCAGCCATATAAACAGCTGGGAACCAGACTAAACAAGACCAGACCTGGAGAGCTGAGTGTGGTATTGCACACCTGCAATCCCTGCACTCAAGTAACTGAGGCATAAGTCTCTTGAGTTCAGTCTAGGTCTAGAAATTCAAATACCCAAACACTCATTTTAAGCATTCTGTAAACCAATTAGATCTTTTCATTTCATACTTTTTAAAATACTCATTATTTTATTTTAAGTGTATGAATGTATTACCTACATGTATGTAAGTGCACCCATGTCATGCAATACCTGCAGTTTCCTTGGAACTGGAGTTACAGATGGCTGTTAGCTGCCGTAAGAGTGCTGGGAATTGAACCCAGGTCCTCTAAAAAAGAAACCAGTGCTCTTAACTGCTGAGCCTTCTCTCCAGTCCCATATTTAAAATTTTTAAACATTAATAATAAATATTATTAGACATAACAAATGAATATCTATTTATTCATTTAGTATGTGTGCATACTCGTATGCATGCATGCCACAGTATATGTGTAGAAGTCAAAGGACACCTTGTAGGAGTGATTCTCTCCTTCCATCGTGTGGGTCCTAGGGATCAGACTCAGGCTGTCAGGCTTGATGGTAAGTGCCCTTACTTCTTAAGCCGTCTCAATGACCCCAATTTTCTTTTTGATTGAAGCAAAGTTTATTATCTTATCAATAAACTTTTGTTTATATTACTGAAAATAAAGTGTCTGTTAAAAACTACAAAACAAAATAAAACAAAACAAAAAACAGAGACAACTATAAATCAAAAACTAGCAGAGAAGGGGAAGAATGAAAAGCAAGAACCCCTTCTGCCCGCTTCCCTGGGAAACCAGTGCCAACTTAGTATTTAAACATATTCAGGAATCTGCTTTCCCCCAGATTTAATGAAGTATAACTGATAGATAAAAAGCACATAATATTTAAGGCATACCAACATAGGTGTATGGGTGAGGTTTTAATACACACAAGAAAGTGATAAATGATTATCTTAATCAAATTAATTAATACACCCTGAAATCCTTAATGCATCCAGAAACAGTGTTTCAAAAAACATATGGGATCACACCATATATACTGGTAAGAGTGGATTTTAAGAAAATTGTAAAATTATAGCACATGTGAAACTCTTAGAAGGTGTGAAACAGAAGCCTTTTCTCTATAACCTACAACCCCAATTAAAAAAAAGAATGTCTTTAAGATAAAATTCATATATTATATGACTCATCTACTAAAAGAATACAATCCACTGGATTTTTAATATAACAAAGTTGTACAATAATAACCATATATCTTTTAAAGTGAAAAGAAAGTCCATATCCATCAGTCATCAACTCCTGCTTTTTCCTCAACCTTTCCAATCATGGGAAACCATTGATCCGTCTTTGTCTTTATATGCTTCTCTATTCTTGATTCACATATGTGTTCTTTGTGACTGATTTGTTTTTCTTCACTGTGTTTTCAAGAGCTTTCTCCTTGTAATCTGTATCATTACCTTATTCCTTTTCATTGCCAAATAATAGTCTACTAAATGGATAAAGACAATATTCTCTGGGCTCAATGACAACCTTCCCTACATCACTTAAATCCCTAAAAATATCCTTGGTTTACAGTCAACATAAACACAATGTGAATGAGTTCCACTTTAACCATGGACACAAATGTGTCAGATGTACCAGTCTACTGAAGACACTAGTGACTGTTGGAGTGACCAGTGACCTGGCTGAAGAAACTAGTGAATGAATGTGTACAGAGGCAGAGACATGCAGGATAGATGCTAATTAGACAGTAAAGATCAAAACAAAATCTCTAACGGGAAGATCTGTGATCCCATGAAATACTCTTCCTTTGTATCAGCAGAAAGTCTCATTAGATGGCATTTAAAAAATCAGTGTTCTCAGGAGTTACTACATTCTTGGGATCCTGGGAGAGTTGCAAAATACAAATTTTGGTGCCTCTTGTCCCAGAGACTGCTTTAAGTCCAGTCTTGGCCTTAGGAATCTGTCTTTTAAAAGGCTCTCCAGGAATTGAGCCATTAGGACCAGCAGTCTCTGAGCTAGCCTGGTCCACCCTCTGACTGGTTCCAGAATCCAAAAAAAAAATCACACCTTTAACTCTCTCTCTCTCTCTCTCTCTAGTGTCAGTATGTCTTTGAAGTTACTAGGACCCAACAATTGCTGGTTCAGCTTCCAGTACAACATGAAACCGGAAATCTCTACCTTGGGCAAGACATTTAGCATCTGGGCCTCCTGCCATGATCAAAATAAGATAATGCACGTCCAGGGACCAAGTGCTACTCTGCTGTACACAGAGGACAGGTCTGACGTGCTCCTCCACCTGAGGAGCCCACATCAGAGGGGTATAGCCACACACTCCCTTGAATCCTAAGATCTGCCCCCAAAAGAGACAGACATCAGAGTCCTGTTAATTCACATATGCAAAACATTATTACTTTTGTTTTATTTTTTGAGACAGGGTCTTCCTTAGCTACAGCTGTCCTAGAATTCGCAATGTAGACCAGTCTGGCCAAGATCTCTCAAGAGATCTGCTTGCCTCTGCCTCCTGAGTACTGGGATTAAAAGGGTGTGCCACCAAGCCCCAAACACCCCCCTACACCCCTGCCGCCCCGGCCCATGCCAAGTATTTTAACTTTCTTCCTAACTCTCAAAACTCATATACAGTACCAACTTTCTCAGTGTTTTATTTTGTATTTTGTTTTGTTTTTTGGAGATAGGGTCTCATTATATGGCCTTACCTGACCTAGAACTTGTTTATATAGACCAGTCTGGCTTCAAACTCACAGAGATTGGCCTGCCTCTGCTTCCAGAGTGCTGGGATTGAAGGTATGCACCACCATGCCCAACTTCAGTGTTTGCTTTTAAAGGCACTTTTTTTCTTTCCAAGGAATAAGTCAGTTAGCCAGTCACAAACACAATCTGGTGTCCTCATTCCTTTATTCAAGCAAGCAAATTTGAAAATGCTCCTGTTAATGAGACAAGTGGGCTTCATTCATTCTGAAGGCTGCTACTCTTAGATCATACAGAATTTATTTTTAAAAAATACTTTATTCATTATTTTTATTTTATGTGTTATGAGTGTATTGCCTGCTTGTATGTAAGTGCACTCATGTCATGCAATGCCATCAGAGGTCAGAAGAGGGTGTCAGATCCCCTGGAACTAGAGTTATGGACTGCTGTTAGCTGCCATGTGGTGCCAGGAATCGAACCTGGGTCCTCTGTAAGAGCAGTCAGCACTCTTAACTGCTGAGCCATCTCTCCAGACCATACAGAATTTCTTAAAGAGAGGATATAGTGACAAGTACCTCAGTTCAGGCTTGAGTGAAGAATGAAAAGCAATTTGAAAAAGAGCTAAGTGTTTCCTATGCATGGCACTTTTTTTTTTTTTTTTTTTTTGGTCTTTTTGAGACAGGGTCTCCATGTAGGCCCAGCTGGCCTGGATTTGCTATGGAGACCAAGCTGGCCTCAAACTCACAGAGATCCACCTGCCTCTGCCTCCCAAGTGCTGGGATTAAAGCACGTTTAACATTTGTTTTTCTTAGTAAATTCTCACAAGCTTATGAAATAGGTATAATTACTGTGATTTTTTTCACGGAAAGAAACTGAGGCATCGTGAAAATGAATGAGGAGAAGTAAGTGATGACGGTAATACAGTGGAACTGTATATTTCTGTACTATCTGTCTAATAACTGATGTTTAAAAGACAGGGCTGAGGTGTGGTGGCACAAGCCTTTAGTTCCAGCACTGGGGTGGGGGAGTGGGGAGTGGCAGATACCGGTGGATTTCTGTGACACTGAGGCCAGCCTTGTCTTCATAGTGGGCTCCAGGCCTGCTGGGGTACAAGGAGATCCTGTCTCAAAAAAGTCAAAATTAAAGAAATAAAAGACTTGGCTCTCCTGATGAGACACAAAAAAATAAGTGGTTCAAATGGCTAACTTTACTGTAAAAAGTATAAATATAAATATACAGTTAACTATAAATAAAAGTTCACGATTTTTTCAAGTACGCTGAATTAATGCTGTTTATCAAAATTATTTGCTTTCTATAACCATGTCCACTACCAAGCCTGAGCTGCAATGCACAGAAGTGCTCTTGCTGAAAACCCATTCCATAGCCCTAGTGTCTTTGCTGAAAATAATTCTATAACTCATTATCTGCACCTTCAGTACCTGAGAAAGTAGCACTCAGGACTATCACAATGAACTAAGTGAGATGAAAGCCACTCAGAACACATTCCAAGTACTCAGAAAGGTTGTGGCCAGTGGCCAGCTTGCACAGTTCACACATAGCCCATATCCATCAATGCAGAAAGGTCTCTTAGAGAGTATTCAACTCAACATCTCAGTAATTACCCTTTTATGAAGATATAAACATTCTAAGGAAAAAGTGGAGGATCAAAGTGCAACACTCATAATTCGAACTCTTAAGACTGCTTCTGAAGAAAAGCAAGATGAACAAATGAATTTCAATACAGATCCTTGAATGTCAAACACCACCCTTCAGTTGCTACTGGATATACTGTAGACTCTTTAAGATTGTCATTAAGCATAAACTTGTTTAAAATTTAACCTAGACAAAAAAATGGTCAGTTTCACTTTCTTAATTATAAATACTTCATGAAAAGTTGGACTGCTTTCTACTCCCCCCCCCCTAAATATGAGAGGATCAGGGTTTGGGGGAATGTATATTATGCATCTGTTCTATTCTTAGTTCTTGACTACATAAGGTGCTGAACAAATATTTGTAGAATGAATGAATAAGTGTATCTACTTCTTAAGAACACACACCCAGCCTGAGAGTAAATATTAGCATTTCTAAAACTACATTTCAGTGCCCTCTTTCAGGTTAAATGATCAGGCTTCCTGCTGCCTTGGGCTTTTCTGGGTGCTATTTCCCTATCTGCAGAAGGCTCTTCTTATGACTTCCAGGTGACTAGCTCTTCTCTCCCCCAGGTGTTATCACATGCTAGGGTTGCTGGGTCTGAAGTGAGAAGCCACCACTGAGGCTACTCTTGTCACTGTAACTTACTGTTTCAAACCATTCAGCATTGTTTAAAAGATCCAACCAAGGGCTGGAGAGACAGCTCAGCGGTTAAGAACACTGACTGTTCTTGCAGAAGACTCAGGTTCGCATCCCAGCACCCACATGGTAGCTAACAACTGTCCGTAACTCCAGTTCCAGGGTATCCGACAGCCTCTTCTGTCCTCCACAGGCATTATGTATAACACAGGTGCATTTACCTACATGCAGGCAATACACGGATACACATAAAATAAAAATAATAATATAAAAATAAAAAGATCCAGTGAGCAGACTGTTTATTTTTTAAACCTAAAACAATCAGGAAAGGAATCAGAATCTGGCGCATAGGAGATAATCAGTAAATGAACCAACATGAAGGTGCTTGTCTTTCCACAGATGACCGAAGTACATTTTTCACTCAGCTCCTCCATCAGTTCAACTATTATGCTACACTATTTGGTTTTGGTCTGGGTCACTAAGGATTTTTTTCCCCACACTTTCATACATTTTTATCTTCATGTTACAAGGAACCACAGCAAACTTCACTCAGTTTACTGCAGATGTTTTATGTAGTAATAATAATAATAATAATAATAATAATAATGATGATGATAGTATTTTGTGGTGCTTAGAATTGAATCCGTGGTCTGGTGCACGCTAAGCAATCACTCCGCGATCGAGCTACATCCCTAATCCAATATGATGATTAATGGTTTTCAACAGCAGCACTTGGATAAAGTTGGAGTCATAATGAAAATTAGAAACGGTTTTCTTAATCATGAGCAGCACAAGAAGTAAACCAGTGGAAGGATTTGCAGATGTCAGTGAGTTAATATGGTACCACATTAACTTCCCCAGACACTGAAACTACAGCTCAGTTCTTAACTAGTCACAAGCCTGGGGCCAACTTTTAAAGCAGCCTGCAGAGCAAAAGTCTCATCCCCATCACAAGACACAATTGAACATCTCAATCAGTCTGCCCGGGTGGAGCTCAGAGCAACCTAGAAGAGATGCCCACCTCCAAGAATCCAAACAGCCTTTCGTAATTACTTCCTTTTCTTCCTGATTCTGGACAATTTAAAAGTGATATACAATTATTGTCAAAATACAAGATTTGAAATGATTCCAAAAACGAATATTTGTACAGAAAATCCAATCATATTCAAGAAAATTTGAAGGGGGGAAACATATAGCCTTTGACTAGAAAGCCATTTACCCCTGTCCCCTTTTTTTGTCTGAATTTAACCTAGAAAACACAGGTGGGGATGAGGATTCTTGAAATATTTTATGCATTTTTTAAAGGTCTTGGGGTAAATACATTAAAGACACATACAACGTAGGTCGAAGAAAGTTAGCTTGTCAAAGCCAATGCAAACGGAAAACCGAACCCAATGGGCCCCAATGAATCCTGTGGCTGGCTGACCAGGCTGAGCTATCTCGCTTTTCAGTTCCTCTGGAAGGGAAGTTGACAGCGCTGGTTTGCGAGGACAGAGAATGCGGAACATGCTGGGCGCCCGGAGGGGCGGCCTTGGGCCTCGCAGAGGTGGGGTCCGGCCCGCGGTGGGGTTCCGCCCGCGTGGTGACAGGTGCGTTGTGCGCACGGCCCGGGAGTGCACGCGTCGTCCTGGGCCGGAGGAGCAGGGCTGCCCGGCATCCCCGAGACGCCCGCCCTCCGCCCCCGGGGACCCCGCACCGCGCCGGCAGGCGCACCGGTGACCTCACGGGTCATCGAGAGGTCTGCCGCTGCCGGCCGTGCATCTGGGGCGCCCCGCCCGACCTCCGGCTCCGCAGACTCGGCTTACCGCAACCTCCTCGACCTCCCCGTCGCCTCCTCCAGCCGCTGTCACGCCCCCCCCTCCGCCACAGCCTTCAGCTGCGACCCAAGGCTGATGGGCGGTGACGCGAGCATACCCACTGCGCATGCTCGCAGCGCGAAGGAGGCGGGGCTCGCTTCTCTCCCATTGGCCTGAGCGGATGAGTGACGGAAGTCCTCCTCCGCCCTCATCTGGTTCCCAGCTAGGGTTTGGAGGAGCTAGCTAAATTGTAGTGTTTTGAGGTCTGACATACGGACGGTGGACGCCTGCGTGCAAAAGAGAAGAGGAGGGGATGGAGGAAAGCGGTCTGTACTCGGTGACGCCATCCTCCCTGAACTCGGGGTTCACCCCGCCCCACCAGCTCCTGAAGATCCTCTTTTCTACTCTTCAGCCCTGTAGTAGAGCTTATATACAACCCCACTTCAAAATGTCACTGCAGACACTCAATCCTAGCAGGTCCACGGAGAGATAAATGAAGAGTCGCCTCTGAGCGCTCATTTGCTAAACAGATCTTCACAAACTGTATTAATATCCTTGAAATGCAGGGTGTAGTTCACAGAGTTTGAAAATAAGCGGAGAATGATCTAACAATAACTCGTCAAACAACATACAGCTGTTCAAGGAAAAGCATCCATTGCTCAGGTGAAAGAAATACCTCACCAAATCAATTAGGATACAGATTGCCTTGGTATTGCCGGTCTTAAGGCAAGATTTTTTTCTGAAAGGAAGATGAGGACATGCTATATCAAAAGCCCAGTTACATTTAGATGGGTTGGGGAGAATTTTTGAATTGGCACTACAAGAGAAAAATTTTAGTTGGTATTACACAGAAGAGCATACATATGATTTAGTTAGAGTAAAACTCTGTCTCTTCCAAGTAGGAATCACAGAATAAAGCTAACAACACTGGTTAAGAGGACATATACCCACCTAAAAGCAGTGTACCTCAGCCAGAGCCACTGTGGACTTTCAAATTTTGTTTTGTTGGGTACTGGGAATTGAAGCAAGGATCTTGCACATGAGAAGCAAGTTCTACACCACTGCACTGTATCCTCAGCTTTTTTTTTTTTTTTTTGGTTTTTTGATTGGTCTCAATAAATTGCCCAGCCAAGCCTTGACTTTGTAGTCCTAGCCTCAGCCTTCTGAGTAAGACTACAGACCTGTGCCAGCAAGCAAGGTTGTTTTTGGTTTGGGTTTGGGTTGCTGGAGATCAAACTTAAGGCCTTATACATTTGGCATATGATCTACCACTGAGCCATACCTGTGGGCTCTGCTGTGGACTTTTAGAAATACTAGCTCAATATAGTGACATATATTTTTTCAAGATACAAAAGAAATTCAGATATTTTATTTAGAATCTTTCCTTTTTATTCAATATTCTTCTAAGAATATAGTTTTAAAAATTATTCTATGACCAGGCATAATATGCATTTTAACATCCAAAATAGAAAGTAGTCTAAACCATTAATGCTGCAGAGTCCCTTGGGGGGCGTTCAGCACTTAAGAGCACTTGCTATTCTTCCAGAAGATACAAGTTCAGTTCGCAGCATCCATATCACAACTGCTCACAACTGCCTGCAACTCCATGCCCAGGGGATCTGAGTCCCTTTTCTGATCTCTGCTGACATCTGCACTCATGTGTGTATATGTGCGCGCATGCACACACACACACACACACACACACACACACACACACACGCATGCATAAATAATAAAACAAATCTTTTTTAAAAAGTTGCTGAGTCCTTTATGGAAATTTTGGTTCTGCTTCCTCATTTTACAGATTAAAGAAACTGAAACACCAAACATTTCCAAGTCACACAGATAATGATGAACAAACAGACCTAATCCAGACTCTACAGTACTTCTTTCCACATCACTCATTCAGCAAATGTCTGCTGGGAGCCCCTCTACCCTAGCCCCACCCCCCATACCAAGTATTGTGCCTTACACTACAAACATGAAGATAAGTAGGATATACTGTTTTTTCTGTGGGGGAGTGGTATCCTTCCCAGGACACTGTAAGCTGTGCTGTGATGGAGACTTTGATAAGGCACAGTAGCAACCCAAAGATGGGAGCTGTCTCGCTGTACAGTCAGGGAGCTGTCTCGCTGTATGGTCAGGGATGATTCTGAAGAAGAAATAAAAGCAGAATCATTCAATCATTCAATCTTCACTCTGAAGATGAAATAAAAGCAGAATCATTGCACTGGAAAACAGGAAGGGAAAGGACATTCAGGCCAAAGAAAGAGCACATAAATTTTTATGATATTATAGGCAAGTGTGAATATTTAGTTTATTTAGATTAAGTATCATGCATGAATTAAAAAGGCATGACACTAGAAAGGCAACCAGGATTCTTAGAAGGAAAAGTCCCCATATCATGTTAAGTCACTAAAGGGAGCTGAACTACTAGATATTTTAACAGAGATGTAAAGTGCTTTTAATTCCATGCCACAAAGAAAACTTGGGGAGAAGTGGAGAAAACTGAAGGGAAATAACACTGGAATGCTATTGGAATGGAAGCCCTTAGCAGGCCTTTGTAAAAATCACCTAACTTGACAAAGAATGTCACCAATGTCAGAACCCTTGAAGGACTGCACTAAGGAAAATAAGATGGACAGAGGCAAAGGTTAATGTGAGAAGTAGTTAAAAAGACCTGTAAATCGCTGGGCTCTGGAGGATGGAAGAGATTTTTGTGAAGTGCAGCTGAACTTGATGTAACTCTCTGAGATCTAAGGAGGCTAAGAGAGCAAGGAAGAATGGAGGTGCTTACCTGAAGGAGCAAAGTCAAAATACATTCATCTTTGGACATGCTGCTGTTAAGATACTGAGAATTATTAAATATTCATGTCTGAGATATCTGGTTCCTCTTGGTACTTGACAATGTGAGCTGGCATTCAGAATAGCCAGATGATTCTATGTACAGGATGTAATGGACTACCTGTGTTTACAAAATAGACATCAAGGGGCTAGGGAGATGGCTCAGCAGTTAAGAGCACTGACCTTGCAGAAGACACAGATTCAAATCCCACTATCCACATGGTGGCTAACCATCCTTAATTCCAGTTCCAGAGGATCTAATGGATACTCTTGTCTGTCCTCCATGGGCATTTTATGACAGAGGTGCACTTGCATACATGTACAGAATACACACATACACACAATATTTTTTTAATTCAAAAAAAGAATTTTTTTTAAATAAAGAAACAGACATCAAATAAAAAACCCTGAAAAGGACTAATCAGAGGAATAGGAAATAAGCCAGGAATATGTGAACTACAGAATGAAAGGAAGCATTTCAACAGTCTGTGACGTCACCAAATGTTGAATTTAAGAACTGAAAGTTGCATGTTAGATGTGAGAATTAGGAAGTGGTAGTGAGCTCAGAAAGAGGCACTTCAACTATTCAAGGAATTGCATGACAAGAAGTTACATCCATGCGAAGCCCACTGCACTTTCCAAACACTTCCTAGAACCCTGAGTATAGAGGGCAGGTACAAGGCCCCAGAGAAGCCGCTGAGGCTGGAAGAACACTTCAGGTTGTCCTGGTACCACTGAGTATACTGGGACCAACTTTGGTGGTCTCACAACTTGGGCTGTGATTTTTTTTATATAAATATTTTATAATTGGATTCCTTCCTGGTTGTTTGAATTCAAATAGAAAAACAATAAGTCTCATATAGATCATCCTGTTAAACTCAGAATTCCTGGAGGATGAATGGATTGCAAAAGAGTTCCTGACAAAATATTCCATTTTATTACTTGCCTGCTATGTAGTGAGACTCAGACAGATGCCTTCAACTCAGTGGGGTTCAATACTTGTCATCTAGGGACTAAATCAACAGGTTGTTAATAAGTAATCATTTCACCTATCACAAAACAAATCCTTTTATACTTCTAATAATCTCTTACCTATGGCTAAAGGAATGCAATCTGGAATTTCCAGATCTAACTTAGTTTCTTTGGGGATTATATCTTCTTGGAAGGAGTTTGCAAGGCAGTTAGAGTAAGTCACAGAATAGGAATTGTCAGCTTACTTGTTTCGCTATACAAACCCCCTCTGGTAGATTTTATGCTGTATAGGACAGGGAACCACTCACTGCCATATCCTCTGTGTCTGGAACAGCAATTCTAGTGAATGGGAAGAAATAATTAATAATTACTTTTTATTTTAATAGTCACTGAACCAGAAATGATTTTCAATGATTATTGTGGAGTTTTGTGTAAAAATGAAAAGAAATAGAAGACAAAAAAAGGTAAATATAGATAGCAAAGCAAAAAATGTATTGATAGGTGAGAAACACAGATTGATTTAAGAAAACTTGTGACTTACAATATAATGAGAAAATCATGGCTGTTTTAAGAAGTGTACTAGAGTAAAAGGCTCTTTAATAACTATAGATCAAATTAGTTACATTATATCATAATTTAAGCACCTGTCATGTCTCTCTGTGGTCTACATGTTTTCTAAGACCGCAAGTGTACAAATACTAAGCACAGGTCAGATTTACCTCTGATATTTAAACATGTAAATAATAACAAGGCATAAAAATTAATACTTAAATCAGGATAATTATTATATTTATGTGGACCCATATTCTGTTACTATAACTAAATATGAGATTGGGTAACTTAAAAAGAATAGAAGTTCATTTTGACTTATGATTCTGAGGGCTGTGGATTCTAAATCCATGGTGCTTTGATGTCCTGTTGAAGGCCTTGAGCTACATCATTAACCTGGAGGAAAATCCCACAGGACAAGACAGAGCAGATCTTCATACAAAGTCGATAATGCCGTTATAACTCTTCTAATCCCAATTACCCCTGAAGTCATCACCTTTAAATAACATTAACATAAGGGCATAGTTATTTCTCTTGTTGCTGTGATAAATATTGCAAAAGCAACTTAAGGAAGGAGGGGTTTATTGTGGCTCACATTTTGAATTATAATCCATCCTGACAAGGAAGACACAATGGCAGGAGCTTGAAACAGCTGGCCACAGGCACCTATAGTCAAGAAGCTGACAGTGATGAATGTGTTCAGCCCACTTTCTCTTTTCTAGTCCAGGATCCCATCCCAGGGAACAGTG